TTCCCAGCAGAATATAAAGGGGGTGTGCGGTAGCGTAGTGGTTAAGGTACTATGCTACAAGCTGGAAGGTTGCGGGTTCAAGTCCCGATGAGGTCATTGGATTTTTTTCAATTGACCTAATCCTTCCGGCCACACTAGGCCCTGAGGTTTACTCAGCCTCTAACAGAAATGAGTACCAGGAATTAATTAAAAAATTATTTTTCTGGGGAGTGAAGCGTGTGAGGCTGACAACTTTACCGTCATCTTTGAGCCGATTGTCAAGGTAATACGTCTCACAACCCTATGGGCCTGTTACAGGGATAGCTTTACTTTTTTTTTCACTTTACCAGCATATGAATATGCGTACTCAACAGATTTATGCTATTCACATGCTGGTTGGATATTCAGACATAATTACGCAGACTGTAGTAACTTTATAATGGTGACATAATGGCTTATGTCACTGGTGATAATGTGCCCTCATTCCCATGGCAGATGGAGTACACGATTTATCTTTAGGAGACAGGGGTTAAGTTAAATATTATGCATTTCACATCTCTGATCACTAAATCAGAACTGCTGTAATCGTGAAAGAAAACAGAAAGCACCTGACCATCACAGAAGCACCATGCAAAACAACAATATGGTGATAAGCCTGAGTTCAGAGCACAAGTGGAAGAACTTGGAGACCACTAACCTGAATAGCAGTAAGTGCGGCCACAATAGCTGGACTTCCAAAGCCGTGTGAGATGAGCGAGAAGTGTGTGAGGTGGCGCTGGATGCTGGGATCCAGAATATGCTGAAGCCGAGTATTGCACAATGGTGATCTATCCTGATTCAGGAGGTCTATCAGCTCTTTGGTGATTTGTCTGAAAAAAAAATGGATGTCATCTTCAAAAAACTGAATCCTAACCTCTCCTGGAATAAAGATATTTGCTTCTCCTTGGCCTCAAAGTGTAACTTAACCCCTTAAATCTTGGCCAGGATACTTATTCCTGCAACTGAGGTTTTCTCGGTTTTTCCAATAGACTATGAATGTTGCCTTCCAGATCCTATGCAATTCATCTAATGGTGAACAGGGTCTGCAGGTTACATTAATCTGCCAATTGCATAAAGGAAACTCTTACAGAAACCCAACACAAAGTAAAAATTACATTTTCTCTTTGAAGAGCACAGCCATCTGGTTCGTAGTGCTGTGTAATTCAGTGACAGTTTGCCACCTGTTTGTTTCTTGGCTTACTCTTCAACTCTGAAGATGGAGGCAATATGTTCCTCCAAAATCTTAGACTCTCTCTGATTAATACAGCATAACACCCTAGAAGGTAGTACTTTTCACAGTCACAACCATGAGAACTTCAAATCTAGTACATCACACAAATTTTTGTGTCTTCATTAAGCTTGTGGTCCTCTGAGCTGTGATACTATGTAACTTTGTTAGCAGCCCACTTTTTTGGAGGAACATCTAACCTCCATTTTAAGAGGCAAAAAAAAAATATGTATACTGAAAAATGAAAACAACTGAAAATAAATTACCATTATGATAAATAAGTGACATGGTTCATAATGTATTAAGAGAACATTAAAAGAAACCATTCTTGTCCTTAGGTTTTTATGGTTACATCTTGGTGTATGACTTTGCTGTTTTAGAATAAGTTGATATTTCCTGAAAGCCAAAGTCATACACGTTAATGTACTGTAGCAATATATATAGGAATATTGGCAGAGAGCTATTGTAATGGCAGTATACAAAAAGGTAGATGTAGAAACCTGGAAAATTAGAGAAACACTGGGTAACTAAATACTGGAAATAAAATCTATGTCTCTATTATTAAATAAAATAACTAATTACAATACCCATAAGCTTGATAAAGATCAAATAAAACAAAGGAGACCTCCTTATGATGGGTATTTGTCTCTAATACTTACTTACTTACTTACTTACTTACTTACTTACTTACTTACTTACTTACTTACTGCTGAGCCCTTCTTGAGGAGCCGCCAGTTCTGCAGCTACTCAAGAATTTCCCAGCATTTTATGGAACCTGAAGGTTCATTACCGTGTTCACAAGAGCCCCCACTGGTCCCTATCCTGAGCCAGATCTATCCAATCCATACCCTCCCATCCTATCTCTCTAAGATCCATTCTAATATTGTCCACCCACATACGCCTTGGCCATCCCTGTGGTCTCTTTCCTTCCAGCTTTCCCACTAATATCCTATGTGCATTCCTCGTCTCCCCCATTCGTGCTACATGATCTGTCCACCTCATCCTCCTTGACTTGATCGTTCTAATTATACTTGGAAAAGAGTATAAGTTATGAAGCACCTCATTATGCAGTTTTCTCCAACTTCCTGTCACTTCATCCCTCTTTGGTCCAAATATTCTTCTCAACACCCTGTTCTCAAACACCCTCAGTCTATGTTCCTCCCTTAATGTCAGAGGCCAAGTTTCACACCCATACAGAACCACAGGCAAAATTATAGTTCTGTATATTCTAATTTTCATGTTTTTGGACAGCATATGAGAAGACAAAAGGTTCTGGACTGAATGGTAGCAAGCATTACCCGAGTTCAATCTCTAATACTTACAAACCAAAAACATAATTCAACATTGAAGCCCACAATTCTACATGCATCAAAACAAAGCATTTGATGAAGTTAAGATAATAATTTCTAATGATACACATAAAGTGCACAGACATACTCGTCAGACATTCTCCCCACTCTGCTTATCTAAAGGAGCATATTGTAGGAAAAATGGTAAATACAAAAATGGAGAGAGGAGAGAAAATTTCTTGATTCTGCAGTGGTCGCCCAGTCTGTAGCACACTCACTACATGCTGAGCTATCCCAGCTCCACATCAAGGTGTACTGTATATGCGTTTCATTACATATTCACAACAATAAAAAATAACATTTCAAAACCATATTTTATAGACTTTAATCAAAGGTTCATACATTATTTGTATGAATAGTTCGCTATGAGCCATTTTTGAGAAAAGTGATTTTCAATTTGAGTATCAAGTGAGATGCGGGGTTGTATAGAGTAAGCCAATTTGAGGCCGGAGTAACAGGGAGTGGGTCCCACTGCACACCACTACGACTGAAGTATGGGCGATAAAAACCAAAATAAAATTGGTCTGAGTAATTTCGGTGCAGACCTCCAACATCCAAATTTACTAGCAATCACTTCAATGCTAAAGCTAAAGGTGTCCTTGTGCTTAACTATTTAAACACTACGCCATGAAAATGGAAGTGAGAGTACAGTTATTGCTCCACTATTCTTGACCTCGGCACTAGATGGAGGTCAATGGTCAGCTTCATCCTTCGGCCGCTTTACCCCTGGTACCCAATGCATATGAGGCTGCGTGGGCCCCAGAGCCGGTCTGGACACTTTTCTCGCTCTCCATTCAGTGGTTTAAGGGTGTAAATAGGGGCAGGAGGACACCGAGTTACAGCCGTTTCGAATATACCTGCTGCTTGAAATTTGTATCGCCTATCTACCAAACTATACGACGTCATCTCAGGAGACGGTCCTCTAATGTACCTTATCTCAGTCGTGAACACTTCAGGTCTCCCTCACAGACATTCATTTTCGTGTACTCTGTGTAAATAACATGTATCAAGAATGGTAACCCTGGAATACCCTGAACGCTCAATTGTCAGGGTCATTATACTGAAGAGGCAGAAGGAAAATATGAGTAGAAAGAGAAGAAAGGGCGAAGAAGGCGTAAGGGAGGAGATGGAGAATGTAAAGAAAAGGAAATAACAAGGGTGAGAAGAGAGGAAGAAGGAACGGAGACTAAGGTGGAAGAGAACGTGGGGAAGGAAAAGAAAGGAGATATGAAATGAATAAGGAGAATTTGGAAGGGATGAAATGGGGAGAGAAGGACGAAGAAGGGAAGAATATTAATAGAAAATTAAGAAATAGAAGGTGGAAGAGAAAAATTGTGATAAAGAATACGAGAAGGCGAAATGAGAGGACAGACACGAGATGAACAGAGGGATTCTCCCAGGTGCCTTGGGTCTGAGAGTCGTAAATTGTCACCCAAGAGCGACAAAGAAGTTCAAAATAAAATCTGACACAGGCTAGATTAATCACGGGACCACGTAATAATGGACTCCAAGTTTTGAGCATTCCTAGTACTTAATCAATTTCCGAACAGCCGAATTCCGCTATGGAACTTACTTGGTAGCGTGGATGAGCTCCTTGCGGCGATAGGACTCCGACGGGTCTGAATGCTGGCGGCTTAGGTACTCCGCGACCTGTCGCGCGGGGAACTCCGTCTCGCACACGTATCCGAAGTCCCTCGCCAGATGGATCGCTTCGCCTGCGCAACAATGGAACACATACATATTGTCATTTGTTTGCATTTCATCCATTTTGCTTCACTGTGTATTGTCATACTGCTGACGGTGTTATAGACATTTTCCGTGTAAAGACAGAGCTTTTTAGACAGTAAAATGATGATTTGAGGAAAGGGTATAAATATGTGACTGAAGTAGAAAAACAAGAACCTCTATTTGCCTGTTAAAATTACAAACTAAGACAGATCACGAGGCTCTCCACATAATGAAATACGGTTTTGTGACTTAAAAATTACAAACATGGCGATAGCGCGATACTTCATGTCCACGTCCGAAAAATTTAACAGAGATACAACCTGTACTTAAGTAAGAAGTTATTCGTAAAATAGGAAATTACAAATTACAAATCAATAGATCTGTAAGACTAGAAATATAGGGAATATGAAAGTATACTTTCTGGATTATCCTCAGAATAACTTGGACCATTTAAACATCATTGAAATCTGTCCCTATTGTGCCATGAATTTAACAAATAAGTCCAACCTGCACTATTTTTATCGTCCTGTCTACACGTTTGACGCCATCTTTTTATAATCGACGTCTAGCCCTTACGTTGTGCGTCACGCTTATTAGAGTCCTTATTGTTTGGTGCCCCTGGATGGGAGCGCCACGTTCTAACTGCCCCCCACCGTTGGTCTACGTTGGTCTTCGGCCGCTGGCTGCTGGATTGCTACGGGCGACGGCGGCTACAGCTGGCTTTACCCTGCTTCACTTATCCTACTTTCACACCTCTGATCTTTACGGGGATGGGTTTGATTTGGGCGCCAGTAAACTGCAACCCTCAGTTTACAGATTTATGGGAGATGTGAAGGACGGATAGGGGGTAGCTGTCGTGGGTAGCTAGTTCTGCCGGTAGAGCTAGGATTCGGTCCTCAGGCCGTGTGGCAGGGTCTCGCTCAGGAAGGGAAGTGGGAACTCCTGTTACTACACACACACACACACACACACACTTTGTTGCACCAGACAGTTTATTAAACTCTAGTCCATAGTGGATCCCACTAACGCACTACATTCAACTTGTGTCCGCTGGGTTAGCGATCTTGAATCTCACTCCTTCCGATGATTTCTCTTTTAGAATTTGCGTACGAATAGTTTGTGAACTGAAATACGACTTGCTTTTAGAATTTGCGTCCGAAAGGTTTTAGATCTGGAATACCACTCCTCGAATGCCTTCTCCTCGCAACTCTCGGGGTTGCCTCGATCCACAAATCGACTCCAGAAATTACGAGGATTTGTCATTTTCAAAAAATGGGAGTACACTAATTAAGTATTCCCCCAATCCGTTTAGGGATTACAGGGAATTTAGGCGCTAAAACTTAACGTAAAATCTGTCAGTAGCTCGACAAATGTTACGCTTGGCTTGGGGTTGAGAGACCACTCATCTTTTGAGTTATGGGTTCAAAACTGTCACTTATTGTGTTCTCCAAGGATTCTAACAAATAAAATTTCGTATGATTTTCTAAAAAAAAAAACTGCGGGGATCCTCCTCTTTCGTTCCGCATCTGCCTTGACCAGTCGTTTTCTTTTTTATTGTCTTTTTCATTGGAGGGTTTGAGCTAAAACGCCTTCTTGAGGGGAAGAAATAGCCTATGTGCCTCTCGTCCTTTTGCTGTATGTTACAAGTAGACCTAACCAAACATGTTAATTTACCCGGATTCACACATTCTACCAAATTAAGTTGAGCTGGGGTAGGCAGATCGGTTACACTGTCGAGGGAATAGTATGTCAAATGAATATGGAACACAAAGTAAAATAGCAATTTTCCCGATATCCTCTACGGAAGAAACGCAACCTATGTTAAAGCCAGGTAAATGAACACATAAGTGGGTATATAAATGAAATAGCGGTATAACAAGACAACTACTTTAAAAATAAACCGTAACAAAAGCGGGCTAATGTATGCTTTAGAGATGACGATATAAATATGTAATTCTGTCAGTTATGACGCCCCTCCGTTGCTTAAGTGTGGTACATCGACTGGAAAATAGTTAGATGATAAGATGGTAGAAGGAGATTGGATAAAGTTTTTGATAGGACATATTTAACTGGTACAGTAAACCATTTATAATCCGGTTAGAGTTAATCCGGATCGAAATATGAAAATATTTGTTCACAGTTGAGTAGACATATTGTCACATGTTTCAATGACTAAGATGAGGGTTTGGCCGCGCCATAGCTCAAGCGGTTAGTCGCTGGCTTCCCACCGCGGTGGTCCGGATTCCATCCCGGATCTGGTCAAGTGGGATTTGTGGTGGACAAAGTAGCGTTGGGGCAGGTCTTCTCCGAGTACTTCGGTTTCCCCTGCCAATCTTCATTCCACCAAATTCTCCATCATCCTAATCACCCGGGGCAGGCTACAATAGGCCAATCAGTGGCGGCCGTGTCGAGTGGACCCAGTTGAACTCCACTCACCACTGACGAAGGTTTGGATTGGTGAATCGTTTTAATGGATATTTACTAGTCGTAATTACACTTTCAACATTACTGTAGCTGTACATATGTAACGTCACGCACTAAGTCTTATAATTCTTCTTCTGGCCACACTGCTGTTCTCTTGGAACTTCGGAAGTGAAGTGAAGTCAGTTGCCATTTCCGTATTCTCTCATATCCTCTCGACACGGACCACGCACAGGAAACACAATTATATTCCTGTGTAACGTAGCGCAGACCACACAGAAAATAAGTCACGAGATAGCCACCTCGCCAGTCCATTGGCGTGCTGACTGCTGACTAGCAACGAGCTATAATATTCCTCCTATTGTTGCGTGCGTGTATCGCGGGGTGTTTATCGAGCCATTGACTGGCAATACGTTGACATGTCACAATATTTTGAAAGACACGTGGTATTTACAAAGGCAGATGAATTACTAGCCTGTTCAGACAAAGCTTAACAGTTTCTTCATACCTGCAGTATTACATTCAAAAACAAATACCTCTGATCTTCTATTTTTATAGCTTCTGAATAAAGGCTTTACAATAATGTTTTATTTATCTTCATCAGAACTATGTAAGATTTGAGGCTTTCACGGCGGTGACTATGAAGAAACCAGTCTTCTGGGATTTGGCACCGTGTATATGTGGTGTTAACCGATGTTTCGGAGGAACGTATCGCCTCCATCTTCAAGGTAGAAGAAAAAATAAGAAATCTGCAAGCGAAGAGACCATGAGAACCGGTAAAGTTCCTCCGAAAAGTCGGTTAACACCACATATACAAGGTGCCAAATCCCAGAAGACTGCTTTCTTCATCAGAACTTCTTGTGTAATTATTTATTTGTGGTCTAAGTTTTGTTTTGTCATTTAGGGCTACCTTTTGCTTTACTATTACGGATTATCAATTAATCCGGATGACCTCCCCCCCGCAATTACTCCAGAGTGCAGAGGGTTTGCTGTATTTTTATATCACGCTCATGAAACCTTCGTGTTTTTTTGTGAATATATTAAAAAGGGTAATATATGTGCTTTGTGGATATTTGTGAAGATTTTTTATGCATTTTCTCACAGAATACTCGTCAAGATGCGTCCATGAATATACTTCGGTCTTTCAGTAACACCGTTCTTAAATTTAACTGAAAAGCGTGAAGCTGACTGGGGTAAACTAGTCTATTGGAAGTTTCGTAAAAATGAAGTAATTTAAGGATTTGAGACTGCCATTGCAGTGACTAAGACGAGTTCAATTTTGGGGATATAACGCCGTGCAGTCCGTTGAAAGTTAACAAGCGTTTCGCGTAACAAGTAGCCTACATCTTCAGGGCAGAAGAACAAGCCAAGCAAAATACTCAGGGTGAAACGGGTAGCAAACTGAGCTGGTTTCCTACATGCTTTATTCTTAGACCCTGAATATCAAGGCGACATATTCTTCCGAAACGTCGGTTGACTTTGAATGTGTCACAAGCGTTACATACCACAAGATAAAACTCTTCATAACCATCGATGTGAAAACATGAAATCCTACGTGAACAGTTTTTTTCGTGGCATTGCGAAATCCTACAAATAAGCAGTGTTAAGTTTATTGTGAAATATTCTGTACTGTTCATAGCACGCGTAAATCTACGTGTTACTTCCGTGAGAAGGTAAAAAAAATGCTGCAGCGAATAGTAGTAAGAATAATAATCATTGTGCAGGCTCCAACCAAACCACCATAAGGACCCCCGCCCCCTTCTCGTTTGCAACGCCTTGTGGAAGCAGCGTTGTGAATTGCCTAGCTATGTGGTGAGCTGCCCTGACCTATAATGGTGCCCATTTACACTCCATTTTCCATCCGAACTCCTATCATACGACATGTAGAAGCCGAAGTCTTCCATTTTGTTAGAACATTCCTGCTGGTCGTGTATTACTCCATCCAAACCAATACAGCAATCACATGTTGGGAGGTTCGTACAAGACGCAGCTGTGTCGATAATAGCAGCACAGGCTTCCGTGCAATACAGGCACAAGTGTCATTTTAAGAACAATACATTTATAATGGGACTTCTTTAATGACTCTGCTGTTTATTCTAACATGTAAACTTTGGTGTGTCGGTTTGTGAATCTGCTAACTGCACACAAGTCTGTAGAAGTGAGAACTGATCTGTAAATGTGGAACTTCGTTGGTTATTTCGAAACTCTTTACCAACTGCAAGATCGAATAGTATGAGAGAAAGAGAGGCCGTCTTTTATACTCTGCCTGTGGGCGGCACGTGAGAAATGTACTAAGAAGTAGCCGTGGGGTGGTTGTAGCTTCATTACAATCCTTATTTCAGTAGTAAACGGAAAAGCTATCCCTGTAACAGGCCATGGAGTCCCATAGGGTTATGAAATGTCGAGCCTCCCACATGATCTAGAAATTCAATTAACAATTTTCGGTGATGTCAGCCTTACGCGCTGGCCGCCTTCACTCCAGGAAGATTCCTGGTACTCATATCTGAAAGACGCTGAGTAGACCCCAGGGCCATAGTGCGGCTGGTAGGATTAAATCAATTGAAAATTCCATTGACGTCATCGGGAATCAAACCCGTGACCTTTCGGCTTGTCGTTTAGTGCCTCAAGCAACTGCGGTACCGCGTGCCCCGTTTATAAGTTAAACTGTGTGATTTTTGCATTTACATTTACATTACATTGTATTCCATAGATTCAAAATTAGTCAAACGACTGTAGTACGTGGAACATGT